TCCGGAGCGAAGCGAATCGTGGGGGGTTCGCACGTGGCCCCCCGAAGGAGCCAGCGAGGGCCCCGCGCGGAGGCGGACGCAGGCGAGGAGGCGCTCCTGCAGCTCCGCCAGCTGAGCCGCTGACGCCTCGTCGGACCTGGCGCCCGCCAGGGCCTCGGCGTGCGGCGCCGGGCAGCCGCCGGAAGCGGTGCGAGTCGGCCGCCGCCGTCTTGCGTTCGTGTCGTTTGTGTCCCATGGTATCTTTCTCCCTCCCGCCGCCTTCTTTTTTCTCAGATGCTTGATTGCACACGCATGCATGCACATACTGCCACATACGCACCTACATACGTACCTACCTACCTACCTACCTACCTACCTACCTACCAGCCTACCTACCTACCTACGCACATAAACACCTACACACATCTATACATATATATATATGTATATGCATACACGCGTATATGCATTCATCCATGTACACATATACGTGTATATATACATATGCACAAACAAGACTGCAGTGGCGCTTCGCGCCATGCACGTTGGTCCTTGAAGTTTGGTATGCAGGCGGAGTAGCAGGAAGGTCAAGCCGACAATTGAGCGATAACTCCTTGTTGCCTTTTCTGGCATCGCCGCTATAATAATGTTAGTCGTTATCCTTCCTCCATGTTTCTTTTTCTTAATTTTCGCCATACCCTACGCATTCTCCCCATTCTCCGCAGCTCTTTTTTGCGGAGGCTCCTCCTTGGAGAGCCTCTGGGGGGCCTGAAAAAAGTTGTTTCAGGCTTTCGTAAAGCCTTCTGGCGGCCTCCTGGGCGTGTTCTGGGGGCCTCTGGGGGCTTCCTCGGGCCACCCTGCCTCCAACCGCGGTCTCCCTGATCGACCAGGTCACGATTTGGAATGCTTCGGAGGGTGTCTTGGGGCCATCTTGGGCGGCCATGGGGCTCTCTGAGGGCCATCTTGGACCCGTGTTGTGCCGTTTTGGGGCTCTCGTGGACTGCCTGGAAGCCCTTTCGGATGGTTGTGGGGCGATTTTGGAGCCTCCCAGGCGGCTTCGGACGCCCAGAAGACCGCCGTCTTGGAGCGTCGGGTAGCCGAAAAGAGGAGAACCCCAAAATTCACCAAAAACAATAACGAAAATCAAAGTTTTTTGCCTCTTGGGGCTTTCTTGGGAGTGCTCTTGGAGGCCTCTTTGGGGCCGTCCTGGAGGCCTCTTGGGCCATCTTGAAGTCACGTCGGCCACTCTTGGAACGCTCTTGTGCTACCTTGGGGGTCTCTGGGACGTCTCCGATGATCCCCCTGATCGCCCTAGGTGTGCTGGGAAGGCTTGGCAAAACGCCCTGCGAGGCCCTGGGGGGCGCTTCGAGGCCCGTCCGGAGGGTCCCGAAGCCCCAGATCCCAGGAGTCCGGTTTTGGGCGGGGTGAGGTGGGGGGGTTCCCCCCCCCCGGGCTCCTAAAAATATAGGAAGAGGACAAGATATGCATGCATCCATGCATCCATGCATCCATCCATCCATACATACATGACTACATACATACATGCACGCACACACACATATACATATGCATATACATATCATAAATATATGTATGTGTGTATGTATGTGTATGTATGTATATATGTATATATATGTATATTACCCCACCAGTGCGACACTACCTAGGAGTTGGAGCCCCTAGGAAAGCAGCATTAGTAGTAACGGTAAACGCCGTCCTCCTCCTTCTCCTCATCGTCGTAGTTGCCTTTGCTTTTGCTTGTTTTTGCTTTTGCTTAGTTTTGCCTTCGCACACACACACACGCATGTTTTTGCATTCGCTCACTGGGTGGGCTCTCTGATCGTACTGTTGCACATTGCTTTTGCTTTGCCTTTCCTTTGCTTTTGCTTTTGCTTTGCTTTGCGTTGCTTTGCGTTGCTAGTGATTTGCTTTGCTGTTGCTGCTGTTGCTTTGCCTTTGCTTTGCTGCTATGCTATGCTATGCTATGCTATGTTGCACTATGCTATGCTATGTTATGTTATGCTATGCTATGCTGCGCTATGGTATGCTACGCTAGGCTGCGCTATGTTATGCTAGGCTATGGTATGCTATGCTATGCTATGCTATGCTGTGCTATGATATGCTATGCGATGCTATGCTGCGTTATGCTATGCTATGCTGGGCTATGTTATGAGATGCCAAGCTAAGCTAAGCTAAACTACAGCTACGCGAAGCTAAGATGAAGCTAAGCTAAGCTAAGCTAAGCTAAGATGAGATACGCAAAGCTAAGGTAAGGGGGGCGCAACTGGGGGAACCGCGGGGCGGGGACCGGGGGAACCGCCCGGGGCGGGGAACACTGCCCGGCCCCTTTAAGCTACGAGAGTAAGCACCCTTCTAGGCAGAGCCTAGGTAGGGAACAAAAAAACATACACATATCTACAAAGAGATCCATCCATCCATCCATCCATCCATCCATCCATCCCCCGTCCACCCGTTCACCCACCCACCCACTCATCCATCCATCCGTTTATCCATCCACCCATCCACCCATCCACTCATCCATCCATACATACATACATACATAAACAATATTCACACATATGTATGTATGTCTGTCTGTATGTATGTATGTATGTATGCATGTATGCATGTATGCATGTATGCATGTGTGCATGTATGCATGTATGCATGTATGCATGTATGCATGTATGGAGATGTATGGATGTATGGGGATGTATGGAGATGTATGGATGTATGGATGTATGGATGTATGGATGTATGGATGTATGGATGTATGGATGTATGGATGTATGGATGTATGGATGTATGTCTGTCTGTCTGTCTGCCTGCCTGCCTGTCTGTCGGTCTGTATGTATGTATGTATGTATGTATGCATGCATGCATGCATGCATGCATGCATGCATGCATGTATAGATGTATGTATGTATGTATGTATGTATGTATGTATGTATGTATGTATGTGTGTATGTATGTATGTATGTATGCATGCATGCATGCATGTATGTATGTATGTATGTATGTGTGTGTGTATGTATGTATGTATGTATGTATGTATGTATGTATGTGTGTATGTATGTATGTATACTGATAGGGGTGTGTACACGTGTGTGTGTGTGTGTGTGTGTCTGTGTGCCCGCCACGTGCCCTGCCTTTGGAGTGTCCTCAGGTGAAGGCTGCGAAAGAGGTAGGCGTGCTGGGCCAAACGCCCGTGGCCTTTCCTTTGGCGGTGCGCGTGTTGCGCGTAGCCCCGATCCCATGGAGCCTCAGTCCTCCATCCTGAGGGTTCGTTGAGGGGCCCGGACTCCGAGTTGCTGAATCTCCTGGGGGCTCCCCGCGTGCCCTCTGGGGCCCGTCGGGACTTGTCGCACACCTTTTTCGGGCCCCAGAGGGCCCAAAGACGGGTCAAGAGGGCCCGACTTGTCGCATACCTTTTTCTGGCCCCAGAGGGCACCAAAGACGGGTCAAGAGGGCACGACTTGTCGCATGGCTTTTTCTGGCCCCAAAGGGCCCACGGACAGGTCAACAACAGGGCCCAAGAGGCCCTCAAGACGGTCAAAATAGGCCCCGAACCGCTGAACAGTCGGTCCAAGACGCCAGAGATGGCCTCCAGTCGGCTGGAAAAGCACCCAAGACGTTCCAAGAGGCCTCCAAGAGTCTTCCCGACACGAGAGGCCAAAATCATGGATGTCCCGACGGTGTTTTAGCTTCTCCATTTTTCGAGCTTCCGACACTCCAAGACGTCCTAAAGAGGTCCCCAAGACCCACCCAAGACGCCCCCAGAGGCACCCAAGAGGCACCCAAGAGGGCCCCCAGACGGCCCAAGAGGGCATCAGAGGGCCCCCAAGAGGACCCCCAAACTGCCCCACGATCGAACATCGAAGACTTCCGCTCCAAGAGGCGCCTGGGAAGCACCCAGAGCCTCCCAAGAGGCCCCAAAGAGGCCCTCGAGGCCCCGAAACAGCCCCTCAGAGGCATTCAAACTGCCTCAAGGTGGCCCTCGAGGGGCCTCGCCGAGATTCCCACAAACAACCAAGATGACTCAGACCCCACAACCCAGGCACCGTGGCGGGATGGGCCAGTATAGCACATACGTAGCACCCCGCAGTTGCGGAGACGAGTGAGGGGGAGGCGGGGTCGTTAGCAGTCAGCGAGGCGCTGAAGAAGCCCTCCGCAGGCGCCGATTTTTGGCAACACAATACACAACGAGCCCGCCGCAGGCGCCGATGTTTTTTGTTCATCGGCAAGATGGGCGGGTCGCGGGTGGGTCGCCGTGTGGGTCGCGGGCGGGTCACGGGGCGGGCCGCCGGTGGGTCGCGGGGCGGGGCGCACGTGGGACGACGACGAGAAGCAAGCAGGCAGACCCAACAAGAAGCAGGATCCGCGCCGCGGGGCCCCGCTTCGGCCACGCACCTGCAAGCAGTCAGGCAGAGCTGGCACGATTGGGCCGGACTGGACGCGTGACTGGACCTCCAGGCGGCGCACGCGCGCGAGCGCGCCGAGCGGTGCTCGGGTGCTCCAGGCAGGCTGCAGCTGGAGGCGGGGCTGCTGCGCGCAAGTGGGCCGGGGCCGTTGCCTCTTTGGCTCGATGGGGAGGCGGCGGAAGCGACGACGACGGCGGCGACGTCGGCCAGGCGCCCCCAGGGGTACCCCTCCCCCTCCAGGTTCACCAGCCTTGATCGTGTCCCTGCGCCTCGAAGATTGACAAGCCCAGATGCGATGGCCATCTCAGGGACGCGCCCTCAGAAGCTGGGGGAATCCTCGAGACATGCGAGCAAGAAGAGCCGTCACCACCCGAACTCCGCAGGATTGCCTTCCCAGAGGCCACCCCCGCCGAGCCGGTGGCACTCCGTTTTAGGCACTCTCTGCAGGGGCCCGCCCGGGACGGTGAGCCACCAGTTCTGGGCGGGGGGGATTGAGCGGCCAGCCCTCCGAGCTGGTGGTGGCGGCTTCATCTTCTCCGGCGGTCGAGGTCAGCATCGAGATTCGGGATGTGTAGGGATCTGCTCCAAGCTGGCAAGAGTGCCGCCGGGTGGCCCAGCCGCCCTCGCCCCGGAGGCTTCCAATAGGGGCTTGTCTTGGGGAGGGGGCCTTCCAGAAGGGGCAGGGGCCTCAGAGCCTCGTCAAGACAGGGGGGGCGAAGCCCCTGGGGGAGGAGGAGGAGGAGGAGGAGGAGGAGGAGGAGGAGGAGGAGGAGGAGGAGGAGGAGGAGGAGGAGGAGGAGGAGGAACCCTCCGGTCTCCAGCCGCCGGGAGCCCCCCCCCCCTCCCCCGGGCCAGGGCCCGTGCGGCCCCGCCGCCGGACTCCAGCAGCCGCTGCTGCGCCTCGCCCACGGAGGCGGAGAGCTCGGCGCACTTCTGCTGCTCCGCCTGCAGCTGCGCCTGCCGGCGGCCGCCTGCTGTCGTCACCGCTCTCGCGATCTCTCCAATGCACTCAGAAAGTCGAGACGCGTGCTTGGGACACGAAGACTATGTACGCGTCGTTCAGTTCTGCTCGTGCTCATTTCTGGTTGTGCTCGTTTCTATGTGGTCCTGGCCCCCTGGTGGCCAGGAGGAGGCCCAGGATAGAAGAATTAGACATGAAAGGATCTTGGCCCCTCATATTTTCCAACAACCTTCGAATAATTAGACATGAACGATGTGTAATGTTTTTCACCGCTGTCAACCTCCTCAGAAAATCGAGGCACGCATTCTCTGCTGTTTTTGGCCTCTGGGGGTCCTCGCTGGGCCCCTGGGCGGTCACGCAGAACAACTCAATGTGAGCGGCCCGCCACGGGAAAAGCGCCTGGACCTCTGAGGACCGCGTGGAAAACAGCCAGATATTGGATCGCTGGGTCTTCCTCCTGCTCGTTGTCCTCGTCGTCGTCCCTGGTCGCATATCTTTCTTCACTGGGCGTGTTCGTCCAAGTTCAGGACCTGGAGCCATCGCAAATCGCTCCGGCTCCAGACGGGCCGCAGATGAGGTGGGGGCCTTGGCTTTCTTCGATGCTGCAATCTTATCGCGACGTCGGATCTCAGGGTCCTCGTCGTCGCCCCCCTCCTCCTCCTCCTCCTCCTCCTCCTCCTCCTCCTCCTCCTCCTCCTCCTCCTCCTCCTCTTCCTCGTGTGTCCGCAGCCGCGCCTAGCGGTCGCTGCCGTCGAGCTCGTCGTGATGACCATCTGGGGCGCTGGCCACCGAAGAAGGCACCGCGGGGCGTTCCTAGACACGGCGAGCCTCGGCCACGAAGAGGGCTCACCGACCTAGAGATAGGTCGGGCACGTGCCCCTACAGGCGGATTTTGGATGAAAACTTAAACATCGTCGAAACAACTACTTCCAAAATGAGCAAACATTGCGAGCACATCGCCCCCAGACGATCCCGACATAAACCTAGAGCTAAGAAACGGCCCGAGAGCCAGAGCCCCTGTCTGAACCCAAAGTGGCCCTTTATCTCATCGTGTTGTCCCCACAGAGCCTATCCCCCCCTTCACACGTTGCCCCTTCTTGCTCGCAGGGAGGGAGGAGACGCAAGACTCGGGCTCGGGGGACTCAGCTTGGCCTGATAGGGGCCATCATGCGAATGACGAGGCCCAGTCTGAAGTGTGGCGCGAGCGCCCGCTGCAAGCATCCCACGAAAACTGGACCGTCAAAATCTGGGGCGCGCCCGTCAGAAAGCGTCGGCGAACCCGATGTGCGGCGCACTCGAGTCCTACGCTTCCCCGAAGGGAGGGCAGGGCGGGGGCTCCCTGGCGAACACACAGGAAATCTGGATGGAGACCACGCAGGTCGAACGTCACGTGCACGCTCTTGTCCGGCCCAGCAACGAACGAAAAGGCAGAGAGGAGGGGGGGAAATGGAAATGCTCTGCACGTACGGCAGGTTCGTGTCGTGCCGACCCCGGCGTTGGCTTCTGACACCGCGGGGATTGTTCAACCTGGAACGATCGGCCGTTTCCGGAACGTTGGATCGTTCAACATCGACCGATTCTGGGTCGCCGGCGGCGTTCAACATTGAACGCCAGCGGCGGGGTCGCCGCCGGGCGACACGACAGGAACCTACCGCAAGCCTGCCACACTCCCGATAGATTTAGGTCGGGCATGTCCTCCTACAGGCGGATTTTGGACGAAGAAGACGAAAGAGTCAAAGTATACTCGAGCATGGTCAAAGCCGGTCCGGACATCGTCCCCAGACTATTTCCGGACTACTTTTAAATATCCCTGCTGTAGAGGGACACGCCCGACTGAAGGATGGATTGAGCAAGCTCCGTCTCCTGGAGGGCCGACCTTATTCGGGGATCTTCTGACCCGGGTCAATCCAGACCCGGGTCAGCAGGAAACCAAAAACTGCAATGCAGGAAGAAAAACTGCAACGCGGGTCTTCGCAAACCCGGGTCAGCCAATACGAGCGGCCGCCTCGCGGCCACGAGCGGCTAGGGCGATTTCGGACGAACAACAAAAGATAGCCAAACAACATACTCCGAAATGGCTAAGAATAGTAGAAAAATCCTCCCCTGAGTCATGGCTTTGTCCTTGCTCGGGGGGGTCTGGGTCCCAGGTCTCTGCGCTGCTCCCCGGCGCCCACTCTGCTCCGCTCCGGCGGGCGCCTGCAGGGCTCTCAGCTCGGCCTCGAGCTGGGCCTTCTGCGCCTCCCCGTCGGCAGCCAGGTACGGCGAGGAGGAGGGGAAGGACGAGGAGGAAGACGAGGAGGAGGAGGAAGAGGAAGAGGATGAGGATGAGGATGATGATGATGATGATGATGATGATGATGATGATGATGATGATGATGATGATGATAATGATAATGATGATGATGATGATGATGATGATGATGATGATGATGATGATGATGATGATGATGATGATGATGATGATGATGATGATGATGATGATGGTGGTGGTGATGATGATGAGGAGGACGAGAAAGACACATAGGGATATTATGATGAGATGCTGATGATGATGATGATGATGATGATGATGATGATGATGATGATGATAATGATGATGCTGCTGCTTATAATGATGGTGATGATGATGACGAAGAGGAGGGGGAGGAGGTGGAGGAGGAGGAGGAGGAGGAGGGAGGAGGAGGAAGAGGAGAGGAGAGGAGGAGAGGAGGAGGAGGAGAAGGGGAGGAGGAAGAGGAGGAGGAGGAGGAGGAGGAGGAGGAGGAGGAGAGGCGGAGGAGAGGAGGGGAGGAGGAGAAGAGGAGGAGGAGGAGGGGGAGGTGGAGGGGGAGGAGGAGGAGGAGAGGAGGAGGAGGAGGAGGGAGGAGGAGGAGGAGGAGGAGGGAGGAGGGAGGAGGAGGAGGAGGAGGAGGAGAGGAGGAGGAGGAGGAGGAGGAGGAGGAGGAGGAGGAGGAGGAGGAGGAGGAGGGAGGAGGAGGAGGAGAGGAGGAGGAGGGAGGAGGAGGAGGGGGAGAAGGAGGAGGAGGGAGGAGGAGGAGGAGGAGGAGGAGGAGGAGGAGGAGGAGGAGGGGGAGGAGGAGGAGGAGGAGGAGGAGGAGGAGGAGGGGGAGGGGGAGGGGGAGGAGGAGGAGGTGGTCTGGTGCCTCCTCGTCGGCCTCCCCGCACGGCCAGGCCGGCGGGAAAGCGGACGGCGAGGAGGGCGGCGGGCGGCAGCGCGGCGAGGGGCGTTCGAGAGACGCAGGCCCTGAGAGATCTGGAGGGGCCCTGGGACACACAAAGAAATAGACTTAATATGTCGGGCCTGTCCCCCTACAGGGGGATTTTCGACGACTAATAAAAAAATACCCCCAAAAAGGCCAAACAATATTCAAACAATAGTCCCCAGACTATTCTTGGAGTATTTTTGGACTATTCTTGGGGTACTTTTTATTTTTCGCAGAAAATCGCCCTGTAGGGGGACAGGCCCGACTTAAAATAGACACAAATAACACGATTCCCCATCTTTTCTCATGTTTTCTGGTTTTTGTCGTCCCCCCCACTTCCCATGTTTTCCCATATTTTCTGGGGAATCGGCGATTCGTTGTGTCCGTGTGTTTTTTCCCTCCTGAAGATCTTGGAGCTGGAGATCCTGGAACAAATCGCATCGTTAAAAAAGAATCAGGGCGGCCAATGATTCGCTATGTTCGGCCCTCGGGGGCCCTCGCCGGGCCCGGGGGCCGTCCAAACAACGACACAGGATGAAACACCGGCCCCGGGGAAAGGGTCGGGCTTTGTGAGAAGGCTGGCGCTGCCGTCGTTTTCATTCATTGTGAAGGCGTCCATTCCGATTCATAGTTTCGAATGCGTTCAGCCGCTAAGGGCCACGAGCATGGGGGCGTTCTGGCGCGGGACCCTCCCACGTTGATCCCTCGGGCCCCGCTCTTTCGGAGGGCGAGGCGGCGACCTCCGCTCCAGCGGGAAGCTTGGAAAGGGCACCAACTGGCGAATCGGCCGGCGGGCAAAGAGGGGGGCCTCCCCCTCCTCCTCCTCCTCCTCCTCCTCCTCCTCCTCCTCCTCCTCCTCCTCCTCCTCCTCCCCCTACTCCTCCTCCTCCCCCCCCCTCCCTCCTCCTCCTCCTCCTCCTCCTCCTCCTCCTCCTCCTCCTCCTCCTCCTCCTCCTCCTCCTCCTTCCCCCCTCCTCCTCCTCCTCCTGACTGCCGCACTGCCATTCAGGGAAGGCCCTGGGTGCTGGGGCTCGAGCAGGCCCCCCGTGGCCTTTTCGCATCACGACAGCGCAGTTGGCTTCCGCGCCCTTGTGCGCGCCGGGGAGGCGCAGGGTCCACAAGCAGTGATGGCCAAGCAGCAGAAGTACATCATGTGCAATCGCCGTGGTTGTAAGGGCTGGACTTGGTGCAGTACTGGGGCTAAGCATTGTGATCAATGTGGTGGCCGCTTCAAGTCACAGCAGTATGTACCACCTGGAGGCGCCCGTGGCAGCGCCGCCAACAACCCAGGTGCCGCGGGTGGGGCTGGGTCAGAGTCCAAGCCGCCGCCATCGCAGCCCGACAAGCCTGGCCGCTGGCGCGGACGTGACAGATCCCGAGGGCCCAGTCACCCGCCAGGCCTTCGGCGGCCAGGATCGATCACCTTCGCCGACGGAGAAGGTCATCAGCCACAAGAAGAAGACATCGTTGCCTTGGCACAGGCGCAGGTCACGTTCTGGAAGAAGTGGAAGCCCAACGGTGAAGAGTACAATGCAGCGTTGGGCAAACTCAAGCAGGCCAGGGCCTCCGTCCTGGCTACAAAGTCTGTGGATCAACAGGCGCAATCTCTCTCGGACCAGCTGGAGACACAGCGCCAGAAGTACGTCACACAGACTACGGAACTCAAAAAGCTCGTCGAGACCATCCTGGACGTCAGCGGTCGGCACTCCAAACTCGTCGAGGAAGCTAAGACCACTCAGCCGGATATCCAGAGCCTCGAGAGCCAGTACAACAACATGGCCAAGCAGGCCGCTATGCAAGCAGCCACAAAGGATTAAAACCTACTCTCGACCTTGCAGGGTGTTCTCGCAGCTCGCATGCCGCCAGGCAGCAGGGCGCCGCCCGACCTCTGCTCGAAGGTGGCAGAGCTCGCCTCCTACTTCGACGACCTCACCGCCCAGCATGCGCAGGCCCAGGCGCCTGGGCCGCGGCCGTGGGACGAGGAAGGCTTCCCTGCCGTCGGCCAGTGCCCAGAGGACGAGTCAGGGGTGGACGCTGGCGAGGCCACGGGCGCAGCCTCCAGTGGCGCTGTCGCGCCCCCCGCCGCAGGCCAGCAGACCAACCCCGCCGAGCACGTGCCGACTCCGACCGACGCCGAGCTCGACGACGGCAAGATGGACGAATCGGAGTCCCTGGTGCGCGCGGCGTCCGCCCTCCAGACCGTGGCCAGCGGCATGGCGGAGATCCAGGGCGAGAATGGCCCAGAGGCCAAGCGGGCGAAGGCGGCGGCAGCATCGATCGGGGTGGCCGCCTCCGCAGCCGCTGGCGCCACAGGGCCAGCTACGTCGCGCTCCCGACGGAAACATCTACACGTTCGCCGCGATCAACGGGTCGTGCTGGGGAACAGTGAAGGCCTTTGTTGAGTCCGCCACTGCGGAACATTTAACTTTTATCTGCGCGCAAGAGTGCAAACTTGAGTCAGGGGATAGCATCACGCGTCAGATTCAATGGTGCTTCGCACGCGGCTGGCTCGCCCATATATCGCCAGCCGCCCGCAGCCCCTCGGGTGAACTCGTCTCGGGGGTGGCGGT